GCTCCTGTTTGCACAAGCAGGGAGGTCCAGCTTCTGTGAGCGATGGCTCGGGGTTCTGCTGCCCCAGGAGAAGAGTCTTCACCAGTTTGAGTTTTCAGCATCTCAGCATGGACAGACACCTGTGTGAGCTCCTTCCTCACCAGGCAGGGCCACCAGTGCCCATCTGGTCACCTCCTTCACGGGCTCTCTCCCACTTCCCAGCTGAATTCCCATTGCACCATTCAGGAGCAGACACTCCTGTACCATCAGCTGTGTGCAGCTCGTGCTCCAACAGTCCTGGAGCTGAGGGACTCCAGTGATCCTCACCCAGCTGGTTCCAACCCCCGTGACATGAGGTGAGAAGAGCTACGAGTCCTCAGAAGCCTCCATGAGATCCCATGTTGTGCAGGGAGAATCCAATATCCACAAAACAACTGTCCCTGTTTGTGACGACGTGCAGGGCACCACTCTGAGTGCTGTGGGAGAGTCTTGCCTGGGACAAGCAGGGCAGGAATTCCTCATGGAGCTTCACAATGCAACAAGGTGTCTCAAGGCAGGTACAAAGGAAGGAGGAAACTCCTGAGGGAATAACCAGATGCCGACGGAACAGAGAGCAGAGCCTCGGGTCCTCTTGGGTGAGGGCTCAGCTGGACCTGCCACACAACGAGGGGGCAGCTGGCACAGCCCACTGAACAGGGCTCACACCAGGGAGCTGGGACTCCTTCCTGTTTTCTGGGACAACACTTACACTGGGAGAGGGTCCCAGACTACTGCGTGGAAGCCAAAGCTGCAGAGAGAGCATACCTGGGATCTTCTCTGGGAGCGGCTCCGAAGGAACTTCTGGAAGCTCCAACTGTTCCTGCAAGGACGTGAAAGACAACATGTGACACACATCTGGCAGTGATCACAGCACCTCCTGTATCTCACTTTATCTCCCATTACAACCAACTTCCTGAAAGTGGGGATTTTGATCCCAAGAACGTCAGTCCTACCTGAGTGATAGTATTTAACTCTTCTAGAATGGCATCTTCATCCTCCTCGGTCAGGCTGCCAGCCAGGAGCTCATCTATTTGCTGTGGGAGAGAGGGAAAGAGAGTTAATTCTCACTCTGATGGTTCTTAAATAGGGCTGGGAACTCAGTGCACATCCAAGGAACTGTGCAGAGCAGGCAGAGCCTGCTCCCAACAGCCGTACGTACCCTCTGGTACTCCACAGCATCCTGGGTTTCTCCTATTATTCTTTCTACTTCTTCTATGGACATCACCTGAAGGGAAGAGCCAAAGTCCAGGTGTGGGTGAGGCCTGCAGGGAGGCAGCTCCAGCCAAGCCCCTCTTGGCCAAAGGTGCTGAGCTGCCCCAGCCACACGTACCTGGTGCATTTTGTTCAGACACTCGTTGCCTATTTTCAGGCCCTCAATGACCTTCATTTCAATCTGGGTGAATTCAATGTCCTGGACCTGGAATGGAAAGGAGAAAGGGAAGACCCTGCCACACTTTGGCCAGGCACTGGCACAGGCTGCTCAGGGCAGGGGGGAGTCCCCATTCCTGGGGGAATTTAGCAGCCGTGTGGATGTGGCACTTGGGGACAGTGGTGGCCTTGGCAGTGCTGGGGAACAGTTGGGCTCGATGGCCTCAGGGGGCTTTTCCAGCCAAGGTAATTCCATGATTCTGTGGTTCCCATCAGCCAGACACAGGCTGCTGGGACCCCAGAGAAGCCCTTTCTGTACTGGACAGAATTTACACCAGCAGTGAGAAATATCCACACAAAAAGCTCGGCACAGGCAGCTCCACGAGCACGTCCAGCAGCCCTTGAACTGATTTCACCTCATTTTCCAGCTGCCAGTCTCAGCTGAGGCCTCCCCAAACCCAAACATATCCAGTTCTGAAATTACAGTTCTGAGACAAGCCCAAGGAAGTCTCCACTGCAGCCACTCACACTGTGAGTAATTTTAGTAATTTACAAAACAGTATTTAACACATAACCTGCCCTGCAGATTCCAAACACACACTCCCCCCTCTGCCTCTGTAAGGAACAGTCATGGCACATGTACAATTCTGGAGACATCTGCCCTTGGACAGAGGGCTAAACCCCTGCCAGGACTGGCAGCTGAAACGGAATTCCACAGGATCCAGGGGAGTGCCCACCCAGGAGCACAGATCAAGGCCCCCCCAGCGACTGGCCCTCGCTCACCATCCGCTCCAGGTTGCTGATCTGGTTCTCTGTTTTATCCAGGAGTTGCTCCTGGTATCGTTTCTTCTTCAGCAGCAGCATGGCTTTCCTGGGGGACACGGAGGGAGGAACACTCAGCACAGCTGAAACCAAATAAAGGCCAAAAGAACCCCAACAAAAAACCACATTTGTTCTGTGCAACTTGAGCCACGTGCAATGTAACTGGGCTGCTCCTGTGAAGAGCAAGGATGAGCAAACTGTGTGCCAGGGAGAAATTCTTGGCTGGGAGGGTGGTGGGGGCTGCCCAGAGAAGCTGTGGCTGCCCCTG